GTGCAGATGCCTGAAAGCCAACAGTGCCTCTAGTCAGACTGTTTTTTCATGGGGCTGTTCTTTCTTCTGTAGGTAAAATTTTCATTTCTCTCTAACTAGGTGCACTCTATCACTGTTTACCATCTATGAATATCTATCTACCTACCTTTCTGTCTGTCTATGTTTCTATGTAAGTATGTATGTATGAATGTATGTATGTATGTATGTATGTATGTATGTATCTATCTATCTATCTATCTATCTATCTATCTACCTATCTACCTATCTATGTGTTTGTGTGTGTGTATATGTACGTGACATGACAACTTAGATATTATATAGGGCTGGAAATTGAATCCAGTCTTAATGCATGCTAGGAAACATTTCGACTGCTGGGCTACATCATAGACATTTAAAGAGATCTAAGTTTTTTCTACACTAATTTAAATACTTCTACCTAAAGGAATCACAGCCTTTATAGAATTTTACATTACTTCTTTGACTTGTGCCCATACATTTATCTAAAAATTCACCTGAAGCAAAAAAGCATTGTGAATTTGCTTCCTCGGGTCTTGGATACTGTGTGGGAACTTGGGGGAATACATCATTCTCAATTACAATCAAAGATAAACATAATATTTGCTATTTACTGTAGACAAGTTTTCAGACTTTTGAGTCTTATTATTTCATCTGTGCAGTAGAGGTGTTGGCAATATTTACCTTCTCAATTTACTGTGAAGGATAATTAGATTGTATATCAATGAATATGTAATATTCAGTGTAAGTGTGAATATTTATTATACTCAGTCTTAGTGTCAGACAGGTTTGGTTAATTTTTCTAGAAATTCCAGGACACAAATATCATTCTAGTTGTGTTTTCTCTATTTTCTATTAAAAATACTTCTTTTACTTCTACAGGCTCTTTTCATTCCCTCAAACAGCAAGTGCATATACATTTGTAACATAAAGTATTCTAGTGAAATTCAAAGTTTCTTGTTACTGAGAAGATATATAAAGCATTGCCTGAAAGACTGTAAAATAATTAAAACTAAGATGAATTCAAATTCTTGAAATTCTTTGGATAGTTTCTCACTTTAGCATGAAGTACCCCAAAACCAGGCTCTTGCTGGTGCTCAAGATAATGTGGTTATTTAAATTAATATATATGATATTTATTGATTTAGCCAACTTGTGCTATCTGCCTTTTTTACGTGTTATTGTTTCAATTACAAAATGTTGTTTGAATAACAGTTGGCATGAGATTTGGCTATTTACAATTTAATATAGACTTGAATTTTACCCTTAGGGAAAGATACTATATCCACATTAAAAGACTTTGCTAGCTTTTGTTCCCCAAATTTACTGTTTTTTTTTTGTTTTGTTTTAGAAAAAATAAATCAGGTTTCTTTAGATTGCAAAATACTTTTATCGACTCTGACCATTTTTATTTGTTTTAAATTATCTAAAGTTTTATAGAGTCCTTTATTTTACAGCAACAATATAAATAACAGACCATTTCTTGCTCCTGAAATTAAATATAGCAACAGTCGGTCATTGTCATATGAACTTCATTGAGAAATTGGTAACCTCTTGTTTGGATCACACAGTATTATAGATGTTAATGCTCTGTGATATTTCACAATTAAGTCTATTTTAAACATTCTAATTTTTATGAAAGAAAGCCAATTAGCAACTGGATATTATTTCTTGGATGTTGAAGAAAAATATATGTTTGCTATGTTTAGAGATGCAATCATCTAAATTTAACACTGTGAAATAAGCTTTTCATATAAGATTAAAATACAGTATGGCATCTAAATTTTAAATCAAGGATATAGGAAATATTTTAAGAAAACTTTAACGAAACATACAGTATTTCCTGCTCTATTATATTTACCCTTTTGTCCCTATTATACTAGTTTTAGACTTAGTGTTAGAAGGTTATATATTGTTTCCATTAATCACACTCAGAGACTTTTTACTGTGAAATAAAACCAGGGAAGCTTCATATATTCTGTGTGTGAGTCACAGAGTGCGCTGCTCAGTGTCCGAGTCTGTTGGCCTGAGACTATAGCCAACCAAGCTAGGCACCATCAATACGGGGAGCCTGGGCTTCCTCGGAATCAGTGAATTCTTGTCCAACCACTGCTGAGCATAGGACTTAATGCCTACCAGGATGAGGAAGAAGGTGATGATTCCTTTTGACCTCTCTCCAGAAACCTCCAAATAAATTATGTTGTTGGGCTATTTTGACAGTTTGTTTTGAACCCTGTAGACAGATGAAATTCTGCACACAGAGATTGCCGCACAGCAATCACAAAAGCACAAAGTTTTCTGTAGCCACTCACTTAACTGTCAAAATTCACAACTGATAGAGAAATTATTCAACAATTTGTGTTTGCTTATCTTTAACTTACTCACAACTCCATGAATTATTTACATCCTGAGGAAATGCGTGTCCTGAGATTTGGTAACATTCAAAAAACTTTAAAAATATACTCACTCATGTTTTACTTTTATGAAACTCAAACATTCCAAATATCTTTACCATAGAGTTTACATATATATTTTAAACTGTCGAGAACTACATGTAACACACGGAATACCAAAAGGGAGTTCAAGTGCCTAAGTTTCCAGCAATAGTACAAATTCTGCCATAAGGAAAACGATGGGTCTTTTAGTCTTGTACAACAGGATTCGCCTGGGTGCTTTCTGGCATGCTCCAGATTCCCCTTTGTGCATTGTATGCATGATTTAGAAGCAGCTGTGTCAGCACTGATTTATACATTGACAGCTAAGGATAATAAGATATGGGCAAACATACAGCTCACCCTTTTACAGATTAACCTGGAGACTGCATTAGGCAAATTTGATAGCATTAAAAGATTTTGCCAATTTGTCTGGAAACAATTTCTCTTTTGTAGCATGTCAAGGGTAACACTTCTTGCCACTGTACTAATTTAAATGGCTTTGATAAATTGTTCAAGAGGTTAGAGAATGGTAGTGTAGATATATATTTGGCACTTCGAAATAAAAAGGCTATTAACTTAATTGTTAAATGAATTTAATCTTTAAAAATCAAAAGTGCTCAAGGATCTAAGTGTTTTCTTGGAACCACAGCAACCATATTATATCATGAGGCTTTAAATGTCTTCCTGGAAAATGAAATTATACTTCTGCATTGCTTCCTAATAAGCGGGAAAAGCTTTCAACTATTGCAGTAGCAGGAGTCCTGGGCAGTATTAGGGAAAAGCTAAGGTTTATAAATATGGTGGAACTCTATCTTTCCCAGGATGCACTTGTTTTTATATTGTCCTACATTGTACTATTTACGAGACATCAGGTAGTATTATCTATGATTCTGTTTCCTGGAGACTTATTTAACACTGAGATGCAGCATTCATGAGATATTCCCTACATACATACTTTCTAAATAAGGGATCTATGGAGACCTCTCTGGAAGCTAGCAGATGCACTCACCACACCTCTATTCAGTAGCCCTGCGAGAAGACCAGCTGTTGTATGAAATGTTCAAACAGTTCCTTCAGAGTAGTCCTCAAGTGTGAATTGGGCCTCTTGGTGAATTCTGGGCTTGAAACAAGGACAAGATGCGTTGATATTTTGATAGTAATCTAGCTCTTATATGTCCATGTTTCCAGAGCACTCATGGAAGGCAAACATTTAATTTCTCTATCAAATGAAGCATTAAAATACGTTTTCTCTACTGGAACAATAATGTCTCTAAACATCAAGGTACCATTGTGAGAACTACTTGTTGGAAACAGGACAGGAAGTACTCTGTTCTTTCTTTCGAGAAAGTCAATTACTTTTCTATGTATTGTTGAAAGTGCTTTCTTCTCTACAAGACATAAGGTACAACATACAAGACGTCCCTATCACAGTTTCCCCTCCTCCCGCTCCCCACATCCTTTCTTCCCAGATTGGAAGTAAATTTCTTAAAATGAACAGTAAGATTTTTAATTCAAACAAAAACATCAGAAAAAGAAAAAAATCATAAGCAAGTTTGAGCCATCCATTTTATTCTGTCTACAACTGAATATTGATGTTCAGTCTTTAAAACACTAAAGAAGAGTCATTTGTTTGAATGATATATGATTGAGTGGGCTGAAAGAAAGGTAAAATGTTTCATAAAGTATATGCTATTGCGACAAAATCCTTACAGTTGACGTTTTTCTTTTTTTATTGTCTGGGGCTAAAAATTAGCATCTTAAAGAAAATAACCAAAGTTTCATTTAAGTTTTAATGAATTCATTTACATCATGTGCTAATAGTGAGCAAATAGTTTGTTGGTGTTTTTTTTTTTTTTGGAATCACATTCTGAAAGTTTCTTAACTCAAAAAATTCTAGACATTGAAGAGAATTTGTATGTAACAATAAATGCAAATCTGAACGGTAGTGAAGCCCGGTTTACAATGACAGTGAGCTTTCTAATGTGTGGTCTTGGTTCGAAGGGTGGGGAGATGCACCACATCCTTTCTTGTTTTCAGTTTGGAGTCTGGAAAGAGGCTGCCTTTAAAAGATGGAAACCGAAAGTAGCCTTCCTCCTTCTTGCCAAGGATAGTGAAATTAACATGCAGCTGGGCTTCTCTGATAAATGGATTCTGTTAGGTCACTGAGGGGGTGCATGTGACATTAAGTGATTTACAGCCCTTTACCTTAATGAAATTGTTTCAGCAAGATGACGCTGAAAGCTCTTAATGGATAGCTTTTCTTGATGTAATGAAATTGCATTCCTATGGCATTTAATATAAGGTGCAGTTATTATTTACTGGAGCTTTCCAAGGGCTGCTATTTGCACAGACAGTTTGGAACAAAAAGAGACTTCAGTAGCTGCACAGGGAGGGCAGGATGGCTTGTGACAGTCTTAAGCGGATGAGTGTGCGTGAGGAAGCCTTTCAGGAAGTGCGATCGGAGCGTCAGTGCTCCTTCAGAAGTCTTCAGGTCTCCTACACCCAGCTCCTGTGCCTTTCCGTTACATGGTCTTTTAATCCATTTAATAGGCAACTGGATTACAACCAGATCAGCTGCATCGAAGATGGGGCCTTTAGAGCGCTGAGAGACCTAGAAGTACTGTGAGTATCGCTTATTTCTCTGACTCTTTTCTAGAAAGTTGTTTCATTGTTTCTAGAGAGTAATAATGTGATGACTTAGCTACTGTCTAATAGTCCTGTGTCAAAAGGTTTTCCTAACGACAACAGCAACAACAACAAATACTCCTTTAAAAAAACTTGTGAATACCCAGAAGAGTCTAGATGTATGTGGGCGAAACCATGCAAATGTTTCTATGTAGACATTCTGTATTTAAGAAGAGCACTTGAAAGCCTACTATTAATAAAATATCCTCATAGCATTGATAGATGTTTCCAAAGTTCCCAGATCCCTAAATATTAAGATAAAAATCCAAAATAAACCACTATTTAATAATATATTTGGTGGTTAGTGTGAAATGGAAAGGTGTTTTCATTTAATCATGCAATTTTCCTTGATGACATAAGTCAAGATCATTTTTGTATATTTATTTTGAATTTGGGTTCCTAATTTGAATGAGCCATGGATGAGATCCATTTCAGAGACTTCACTGCTATTCTCCTTGAGTGAAAAGATTTTTCCATGCATTAGTTCCATCTGCAACACAGTCAGAAATTTAACGTGTTCAATATGAAGTGGTTTTGAATTTCTCATTAGTTTGTTAAAAGTTGTACAAGAATTAACAAGTCCACCCTCCATAAAAAGAGGGTGAGTTAATTGAGAAGTTTTGAGCCACTGAAATATAATCTGAAGATGAATAATATTTCAACCAAGATATCTTATTTTACTAAGATTGCTATGTGATTCTTATTTTTATTACATGTTGAGAAGAGTTTCTACCTGTCCCCGATCTGAGTTAACATCTTAAAGAGTTGATAAGAAATCACAAATGTTACTTGTCTGAATTGTTCAGTACATGGAGGTGATGTTTATTGCTGTTGAAAAAATCTTTTTCTACTTCAAAGATGGTCAAATTGATTACATACACTTTAGTTTAAAGCCACTTTTTAACCAGTGTGCAAATAACTGTGCTGCTTGTGTGTGAGGGTGGAGGTGGGGGCGGTGAGTGAGTGTAGCAGAGGGAGAGCAAGTGTCAGTCCCACAAACTGAAGTGTTTAATATAGAGAGAGAACTATATAACATATATACCTACAGATTAACTTGAATCAGAAGTAGTCACCTTGCATATTGTCATTTTCATCTTAGCAAATTTCTAAAGATTGATTTTTTTTGAGAACTGTTATTATGCGAATGAAATAGAACTTTAAACATTGGGATATTGTTAAATTTTATCTTAATAAAATGACTAAAGTTTGACCTCTGCGGGAACCATTACTATGCAACATGATATTCTTTACCATGAGGTTAAATAAAAATCTAAAACATTGGAATGAGGCTCCTAATTTCATATCATAGAGCTGCATGATGATTACAACCTGCTTACAGATGCAAATAGTTAAAATTATCCACTACAAGAGAATGTTTGTGTATTTTTAAAATATTTCAATGTTTTTGGTAAAATTTGTGATGTCACAAAAGTAATTTATATAATTTTTAGAAATAATACATTTAGTGCATTTTAAACAGTATTTCCATAATTGGATTGATAAAGGAGAATGGGATAAAACATTGAAAAGATGGAATTATTAAATAGACCATTACTAAATGGTGTTCCTGAAAAAGGGTGACAATTCTGACTTTGTAGATTCTCTTCTTATGATCTCATGAAAGAATAGCAACTTAAGGTTCATATGATGTTACCCAGATACCCAGGGTTTTAATTTAAGTTTTATTTTTATTCCATGAGCATATTTGATTATCTGACACTATTGAGGCCAAACAAGAGAATATGGTGTGATCATGCTGATCACTGATAAAATGTCTAGATAAGGATTTCTTTTTTTAGAAAAAGAGTTAATGAAGTCTGAGATTCCAAGAGAAGTCAGGATATGTGAGACACGAGTTGGTTTCTTATGCTTCCTGTTTAATTCTGGTTGATAGACTATATAATTAACTATGTATTTTTACTATGAAGAAATAGTCTCAATAACATTGAAAACTAAATTTGTCTATAAGGCTTTTTTTCTTATTAGGACATTGGACAGAGAAATGAAATAAAAATGCTAGATTTATATATTTTTCCTATAGAATAGTCATAACTTAATTAAATGGGAACATGAGTCATGTCCATTAAACACTAGACTCTCTGCCAAGTCCTGCTCTTGGTTGGCACCAGGTGATAGTAGCAACTAAATCATCATCAAATTCTAACGTGTACGCCATCATTTCAAGGGGAATATCTTATATTTTTGCACTAATAAAACTTTTTTTACAAAAACATATTCTGGTTAAAAAAAAGAGCGAAGTTAAAAATTGATTTAGTTCCCATGCAAAAGAAGTATTCACAAGTGAACTCCTCAAATCGTATCACAGTATACCCTGTACCTTCAAAGATTTTAGTTATGTTGAGTATGCCTAAATTTTGAGAGTGGGAAAAGATGTCAGTTGAAATCAAATCTCTTTGAAAAGAGACATACCTGCAGAGATGAATAAGACAAGCAGAAGATACTTTGATAGAGTTGGTAAGAGTAATGGACTTTTTTTGGGTTGATTGTTAATTTTGTGAAATATTCTGGGGGTGAAGTGAAAGTGAAGGACTACAGTTTATCGAAGACTAAGTGATCTGTAAAAACAGTGATTCTTCGAGTCGGAAATTGACAGGACACCGGGGGTTCTGCCCATGTAAAAGAGGTACACCGATAAGCAGGGGGATGGCATGTGAGCCTTGTCAGGAGTTTGCACTGGACTTTTTAACTGAGCACTCTGTGGAGGTCAGACGAGGGACATCAATGAAATGAGCCAGCAAAGAGATGGACTGGGCAAGAAAATAGACAAGAAGAGACAGGCCTCTCCCATGTGGAGTCTGCAGGTACACTTGACTATGCCTTTCTTGTTCTGCTGAGCCTCTTGTTTCTTATATCAACATGGTGAAGGCAGGCATGAAAATATCTTCAATAAAACCTCAAACTACTCTTGAAAGAAAAAGAAACAAAACACAAACAAGCAAGCAAACAAACAGAAACCAAAAATGGATAGACAGCGGAGGACACTGCGCTCCTCAGTAAACCAGACATGATATTCGCCGTTGTCATACCTAGTGTTCAGTTGTTTGTTCTCCCGGTGCTATGGAAGGTGGTCAAGCAATATGACTCACCCAGGAACTTTGAAATAGAAATTTTTAGATCAATCTCCTACTTATTGTTAAAAATACTAGTAATTAATTCATCTATTTCTTTTTGTTAATCACGCGTGTGAGAACTAGAAAGAGTACCTTTTCAGTTATCCCTCTTCAGTTATACCATCAGGTGTGCAAGATTGCTGTCCATGATGTTATCGAGAGACCAGGAATTGACTTCTCAGGAAAGTTGGTTACATCAGCTGTGTACTTAAAACATTGAATGACCCTCTTTGCTACCCAGTTTTGAAATGTATTCGTAGATAAAATAAGTAACCTAGTGACTTAAGGTCACATAGACACAATACGTAATTCATGAGCATCTATAAAACATTGAAACCACTGCCTCATGTTGTCTAAAATCTGGTATTTTCTAATGCTCTGCCATCATGAACGACTTGTGAAATACTGTTACAGTATATCTGATGTTTGAAGTAAAAGTTGACGTCACAAAGGAATTTTCTTTCAATTGATTCTCTTTCCCACTTTCAACATAATAATTACTATGAAGGGAGAGAAGGAGCAATCTGAATTAAGCAACAATTATACCTTTCACCAAAGCTCCTTTGACCAGCTGTCTTTCTGATTCTACCTCACGACATGATGACTGAGATTGTGACCCAGCAGAATTACACAAAGGACAGTATGCCATGCTACAACTAAAAGAGTACCATAAGGCTTCAATATGCTGCTAGAGCAAGGCACTTCATCTCCAAAAGATGAAAATGCCAAATATATACGCATGATATTTCACCCAAGCTTAAGGAGTAGCCATTACCCACAGCAAGGGGGATTAAATAGTCCTTTATAATAATGATTATGTGTTGTTGGTATGGGATGTCAGCTGAAGAGTCCAAGAATGTGAACATCACCATGGACACTAATTAAACAAAGAAATGTAAAGTCCAATTTTCTAATTCATTTTTCTATGGTAATCAAGCAGGCTTGCATGCAATAGTATAATGTAACAAAAATGTCTGTCCTAAGCCATACATATATATTTTAAAAGTGTTTAATAAGATGGAATGCATAGTAATATATTAAATATGAAAATTAGGTATCATATTTTCTCTAAAATAGTGAATTCTCTATGTGTTCTCTACAAAGAAGTTTACTTAAATGAAGTCATAAGAAAATTTTGATGTTAATATAAAAAGATCAATGATTTTCCAAATCTAACTAAAAATTTTAACTTTTTTTTTTATTCTACAGCACTCTCAACAATAACAATATTACTAGACTTTCAGTGGCAAGTTTCAACCATATGCCTAAACTTAGGACATTGTAAGTAGCCAAAATGTACAGAAAGATGGATTTAATTATTAAGAATGTTTTTTCAGTACAGTCGTTAATAATCAATGTATAGGACCATTAGTTCATTATAGCATAGGCAAAGAAAATGCAACTTGGGAAGAATGCTAGAAGTACTATTTTAGAAAATGAACTGTTACTCTGAAAACTTGGTTTCCTTACAAATGATATGCATTGCAGAAAGTTTGGAGAAAAATAAAACATTTACTTTGAGCTATTGGAGAGGTCACATTCCATTAAAAAGTGAAAGACTCCTTGATTGGCTGTCAGAAATGATAAATGGGAAATCTTTATGATTTTATTACTGTATTAGAAGCAGACCTAATACAGCTAACGTGTGCTCCAGCATTCTCTGTAATGTAAAGTCAGGGCATCACCCACTGCTGCTTGCATAATTAAAGCTGTGTCAGCATTTACATTTAAAACTATCTCTCCAGGGTCACACACAGTCATTAAGATATTTTTGTGAAATAAAATATGAATTACAGCTTATTTTTCTCTCTCCAAGAAAAATGAACCGTTAAACCCCAATGTGCAGCTTTTGAATTTTAGTATTTTAAGATACGGATCTCTGGTGAACTGGGTTTCAAAATCACCCAGACCTAGAAGGTGAATTGCTAGAAACAGGGGAACAAAATCAAAGATTTGGGCTTGTGGTGGAGAAATGTATTTTTAAATAAGTTACGTCTATTTTGATTAATTTTTCAAAACATTTCTCTTTTTAAAATAGCAAATAACCGAGCCAGGCATGGCAATGCACAATTGGCAATCCAATCATTTAAGAGGCAAAATAGGAAGTTTGGGCATTCAAAGATGACCTTTGCTACATAGGGAGATCAAAGCAGCATGAGTTACATGAGATTCTCCCTTATAAAAATAAACAAAATAAACAAATCAATAAGCAATCAAATATATGATACTTGAAAACATTCATTTAATTTTTTAAATAAACACACTGAGTTGTGTCTGGTGACAAGGCCTTTAATCTCAATAATCTCAATATTCAGGTAGCAGAGGCAGGTAGAGCTATTGAGTCCAAGGCCAGTCTCGTCTACATGGTGAGTTCTAGCCAAGGATGCATGCTCAGATCTTATCTAAAAAATAAAATTGTAAAGTGCTTCATTGTATAAATCGTTTAATTCCTTGACATTGCTAATTTAATAACTAAATGTATTTCCCTATCAAAATGAGATTGATTAATAACCTCACTTACCTAAACTGTTTTTGACAAAATCAGTTTAATACTAACTTTATGTAATATATGTGCAAAGAAAGAACTATGATTTTAATACCCGTAAAAAGAAATACAGTTAAACTGTACATCAACATATCATTGCATTTTTGTGCCTTTATCTGCTGGTAGCCATATACTAGCTTATCTTCCAAACCAGCTGTAAATTGTTTTTTCATTTTTTAAAACTTTTTCTTATTGATTTTATTGAGCTATACATTTTTAAAATATTTTTGTATCTTTTCATCACGCCCTGTGTGACATGGACATGGAAACAGGCTCTGTTCAGTTGAACATGTTTGGTAACAATGGTGAAAGTGGTACCAGTGGCTACCAAAGGCAGTGATCAAATTCTGGTCACTCACCGTTCCAAAAATCCAATATTTGACCTCAGGATAGCCATTTTAGTTTTGATGCAGGGCATCCTGGTTCTTATACAAACACTCAAGGAGAATATGACCATCATTTAATTTTAAATCCCCCCCCCCTTTTGGTTGGCTCATTTTTCTCTAGCATCGTTGGTACTTAAAAAATTCCATTTTTATACTTGGATTATCTTTCTAGGCTGAGTTCTGTATTTTACAATCCATTATCATTATTGAGTTAGAATTGAACACATCAGCTAAAAGGGGCTAAGATTGTCCCACTGTGTCATAGACAATTCTAGGAACGATGTTTTGATTTATAGCATTAGGTGCCCTGTCTTTAGTTTGAGCAAACATAAAACACAGTTTGAAGTCATTTATATAATTTAGTGGATACATTTGCCTGATATTTTATTAATGGAGAAGTACTATTTGCAATTTGGAAGGAACCCATGATCTTGCATAGATTCTGGCAGCATAAAGGGGTCTTATTTAATTTCTTCCCATCCAGCCACTTTTGCCTTTTAATTTTACTCTTTGCTCTTTGAAGCTAGATTCTAAGAACCAAATTCAGCTAATCCCTTTTCTGAGAGACTGGGCCCAGTGGGGTGGGGGAATAAGAAGGGAGGGAGGGGAGAAATTACAAGAGGTATGTTAAAAGCCGACTGTCTTATATTGAATTATTATTCATCTTACTCAGCAAAATAGTGCTATGCTAAAATGACTTTGTAAGCCGTTGCTATAGGGACTAACAATGGTCTTTGCTGATATTTGACCTATAAGCCACACCTTTTGTTCTAAACACTTGCCGTCCACCCCTCTTCATGCCCACAGCCTTGGACCACCTCCATTGGCTTTTGTTGTGGTGGGGATGGAGAATAATTTGCCCCGGGCTGATATTTTTTTTCTCACTACCCCTTTGAAGGAATATAAGCAAAATAATTTCATGGTCCTTCTTCTTCTGCCTTTTTGCCTAGCTCAGACTAGAACTGACTCATGTTTATGAAGTAGTTTAATTATCTGAGAAATAATTGTATTAGGAATTCCCTAAGGTGTGCCTGTATTGGTGTTTTTTTTTGTTTGTTTTTTGTTTTGTTTTGTTTTTTTTTTGTATATCTTTTTACGAATAAAGTTTGAATTAACGGTCTCCTGTTTTCTTGCTTTGAACTCCTCCCTCTTATTTAGTCGACTCCATTCAAACAACCTGTACTGCGACTGCCACCTGGCCTGGCTCTCGGATTGGCTTCGCCAACGGCCTCGGGTGGGCTTGTACACTCAGTGTATGGGCCCATCCCACCTGAGAGGACACAATGTAGCAGAGGTTCAAAAACGAGAATTCGTCTGCAGTGGTAAGATCAGTTGGGTTGTAGTAGGAAGAAAAAAAACCACTGGTGTAACAGGTGTGAGGAATTCAAATTTCAAAGGTTCCGACTTGCTCCCCAGGGAGTCATCATGCATTCATCACCATGGAGACTCTGTTGTGCAGCGAGAAGAACACTCGATTCTAGGACATTTGTACCTAGGGCAATTGTTGATTACTCGGATAGAACAATCTTTGCAGTTGCATCCCAAGGGAATATAGGAAATTCCCAGTTGTAACAATATTTGTGAAATATACTCACTAGTGAAAGATGACTAGTAATCCTGGATTCTTATCCTAAAATTCAGTACAACTCAACTGTGATTATAAAAAAAATAGAGTATCTCTTTATAAATATGTACATCTAATGATTCACTTCTACTAAAAATAAGTATATTTTTATGTACCAAAACATCTGTAAAACATATTTATCAAAGGCTACCATTTGCTGTATTCTGCATGTCTAAACAGTAATGTAAATATTTCACACATAGCTGCCTCACTTTACCCTTGAAACAACTATATGAACAATATAAATTAATCTCTATATTGGAGACTAAAATATAGTATAAAATCATAAGCTTTTCCAATTTTATATGTTCAAATCAAGGATCTCAACCTATATAGTCTATATTTGCATACATATATGTACATATGCACACAAATAAATTATATACATGCATATGACTATGTGTATTTATGAATATATGTCTAGGTGTGCTTCAGAACACTTTGTTTAAAATATAATGAAACACATAAACTTTTGATTGTCCTGGGGATAGACCCCAGGCTCGTGTATATTTTGACAAGACCTCTTCCAAGCCTAATACGAAGTTTGAAATCACTATATAATTGGCTTTTCTTATTTACCTGCACAGATATGGATTCAAGCAACCAGCATCAAAACATTACTAAAACAAATGATCAGTACTGAAACTTTACCATCATTTTCTTGTCTTTAGTCTCTAAGCAATGCACTATTCTAACAAATATTTGCATATCATTTATATTCTATTCATTGTTGTAAGTAATCAAAAGATGACTGATATTATAGGGTTGATTTGCATAGGCCTTATCCAAATATGATCTTACTTTATAAGGGAATTTTACAGCCACTTATTCTGGTATGTGTGGAGGTCCTCGTCTCTTCACCCATGCTTACCATGCATTGAAAGCAGTTCACATTTTTAAATGACTGGAAGAAAATTACTAGCTCATTTTTGGACATTTAAAGAAATCTTTTGGACGTTTAAATGTATTTCCACACTTTGTGATCTACCTCCAGTTTTCTTATAATAACCTGGAGTATTCTCGGTGTGTTTGGTTGCTTTGTAAAAATCCAAACAAATGACTAACATTTCTCTAACCATCGTTTTTCTCTTTTTTGTTTTCTCCGCGCTGCCTTCTAGATGAGGAAGAAGGCAAGTTTATATTTTGTGTTTGTGTTTTCTCCCTCTTTGCATTTTTTTTTTTTTTTAGACTTAGAATATTGTTGTACTTGGAGAACCAGTGTGGAGGTCTGGGTTTAGCAACTAGCCCACAGTCTTTTCCTGGCACTTCTCTCACACCGGGAGGGCCCCTTCCCAGTAGATCCCAGAAGATTGTCCTGATTTTCTCCAGAAACCATGGCTAAGCAGGCGCCTGTTTGGTGCAACCTGGCTGATGATGTTCTGGTTTTCGTTACTCAGACTGGGAAATCTGATTTCAGGAGACTTTTGTGTTCAAACACTGAGCAGTGAAATTACACATCTGCAGGTGACTGCTCATAGCAAAAGTTTCTATCAGATGAAGCCCTGAAAAGAATCATTTGGGCGAACAATTATAGAATGATCTCCCACAAATTACCATAATAACTTCAAAGAAAGCAGCAATTTTGAATCTGTCCAGACATCAAACTTCTATTATCTAGTTTTCTCCTCCATTTGTTGGCATGGGCTAACTTAATTTGACCAACAGTTATGTCAATCAAGATGGAAGTCCTCTGCATTTTTTTCTTTCTTTTTTTCAGAAGCAAAGTAAATTATGCTACATCAGTTTGATTAAAACCAAGCTCCAGTTAAGCTTATTAGAAATTATATAGCTCATTCTGAAATATCTGCTTTTTGAGAACTCATGTTACTTTTGAATAGAATTCTGGTCTGTATCTAAATTTAGTATTACTAACCTTTTCTAAGTTTTGAAAATATTACAATTGTTATGATTTCTTAAAATATTAAGATATAACTGCATGCTTTCCCAAATATAGTCTAGAAATATTAAGGATGCTTATTTAATAAACAAGCATGGGATGACATGATCTTTGCCTCCTGCTTTCTAAGATTAACACAGTCCGTATATCTCTCTATTGTGAAATTCCAGAGAAAAAACTAACTTCTGTTGATTTTTTTTCTCTCTTTCAGGTCATCAGTCATTCATGGCTCCCTCCTGCAGTGTTCTGCACTGCCCTGCTGCCTGTACCTGTAGCAACAATATTGTGGACTGCCGAGGAAAAGGCCTTACTGAGATTCCCACAAATCTTCCTGAGACCATCACGGAAATGTATGTGCCCCGAATTTTCTTTCTCTTTCAACCTCCCTAATTAATCAAACGCATGGTTTGCTTTCAGGAAGTTTGGGCTTCTTAGGCACCTCTGATTAGTTGCTTTAGGCAAAGCATCTCTTCAGAAATGTGTCAACCTTTCCTATGTGCACTTATATACATTGATGAAAGGATTATGATTTGATTTTATCACAGGTATAATTAAAAGGAATATATTTCAGAAAATAATATTTGAATAAGCATTTAGGCTTTTTTAAAGACAATATGTGCTTCTCATCCTGATGTTAATTTAAGGTCAGTAGGTTTAGTTATGTTGAGTTCTGGCTAAAGCAATGGAGTACAAAAAGGTGGCCAACAGAAGTAAATAAAGCACAACGAGAGGGTTGCTGCCTTCTCAAAAACTCAGGTTTAGATTGAAGTCTCATGATCCTTTTTAAATGCATAGAGTATATAAATACAGAATGTGCTAGATTGTAGCAAGTGTCATCTATTACTTAGCTAGAAAATTTAAAGTTTGTAACATAGTTACTACTTCCATCAAAAGCTCAGTCCTCTTGACTATTATAGACCTTCTTTTTTGTGACGCTGAGGATTGATTGTTAGTGTCCTTGTGAAATGTAAGTCATGTTCATGAAACAAGTGTATATAAGATGCAATTCAGAATGTCAGCATCATAGAAAGTTTAGAGGAAAAATCACAGTTTCTATTAATGAAGAAGGTATCTCTAACTGCCTAGATTATCATATTACTGTTTTATAGGGCAACTCTAAATTGTAACACTGTAATCAGTTTTTGATTGTTTGCTTAAATTAATAAAAGAGGAACAATTTCTCATAAAAAGCAAAAAAAAACTTTTTAAGAACCACTCCTTTCAACCCATTTGTTTAATTTCTATAAGTGAACTGCTTCAATTTTCTTTATGTGAGAATAATCTTAGTCCAAGAATATATGTTATTTTCAAGTATAATATGTGCTTAATAATGTGTTTAGATAATTAGGGTAAGAAACATGATCTTCTACAAAGCCTCCAAAATCCATTGAGATTTTTATACAAGCAACAAAGCATAATAGACTCTTCATCCAAGGTTTAGTTGGTGGAATAAGATCTTACGATTTCTATGTATTTGGTTTTGGCTGGGTATTGCAAGAATAAGATATGGTTTGGGAAGTACCAGGTCCAGTTCTGTAAGAAAGAAACACTAGGAACAAATAACAGAGGTGGAAGTGGGTGGTAGGCAACAGAGATTATAAAGGTGAATGGGAAGATAATATTTTCACTTTGAGGCATTGCAAAAAGAAAACACTGTTGTAATAAGTCTCTGTCTATCATTGAAGGCATTATTATTGCAGTTTTTGAGCTTATTTAGAACTTAGAAGAAAGCCTGAAGTATATTATGAAAAGAAATGCACAATAATCATTAATCTCCACAAGATTTATTTTTACAGACACATGAAGAATATATGATAGAGACAATGTAGAAGCAGTGGCATACAGTCAATAATCCTTATTATTTAAAAGAATGCATGTGTGTACTATAATTTTATTGATGTATACTCAGATATAACATTGGACTTCATAAAAGCAATTTCTTTCAAATATCTTATGTCTGTGATCATAATCACCCTAGTTCAATTTCCTCCTCTTCCCAACTTGCATTTCCCCTCTGCTGGCCTCTCTTTCCTACCCCAGTCTCTATTTTGCTTTCATGCTTCATATGTATATTTGTTGTGTATTTATGTATGTATACAGATATGGCTTTCTGTTCCTATAAGAAATTTTTAGAACCCACAAATGAGAAAAGAATCATAAAATGGGAAATATTTTTTCTTTTCCTATCTAGTTTTTCAATTTGCTATGTTGATTTCCAGTCACATTCACTTTCCAGAAAACTACATATGTCTTTCTCCTTTAGAGGCAAATAAAATTCCACTGTGTTTACATGTAGACCACAGTTTCCTTATCCATCATTTGCTGACAGTTGTTCAGGTTGATTCCATAACTTGGATATTGAGTAGTGTTACCATAATAGATCTACATGTACAAGTATCTCTGTGATGTATTGACTTCAGTTCATGGTTCTTTTTTCTGAAACAGTAAAACAGTATAATGGCCTATCCAGATACAAAAAAATATATTTAGTATATAAAGTCATCATCATTTTTTCAGAGATTTTTCTTTTAATTAATGAGTGGTTCTTTGCTGATAGCATTTTAACTATGGAAAGAGGCATCAAGTATTCATTGTTAGATGGGTGGAATGCATGCAAAGGCAGAAGGCATTACAGAAAGCAGAGCGGAGGCCAAGATACACTGAGTAAGAAGAGTTGATACATTTTGTTTAGAATCCCAGTTTTATCTCTCATTTACTGACTCTGAGTTCGTGATTAAGTTACTTCTCTTCTATGATTTCATCATTTTGGGAAACTAAAATATTTTGTTGTTGGGAAATAAAATAATGTGTGTAGAACTATATACACATCCATAATCTAGAAACCCATAAATGATACCTCAAACCTGGAACACGTACAAAAGTAGCACCTGAACTAAACCCCACAGAGAGGTGATGAATGGAAAGAAACTCCGAGTTAATAAAACATTAATAAACAGATTATATAGGAATGCTGCTTGGGTGATATGTGATAATGCAGAGAACAGAGGAAAGGACATTTAAAAATGGGTCATTGCAACTTCATAGAGGGTTTCGATACTATAAAAATCTTAGAATTTATTTGGAATGCATCTGGATACAAGTATTTTTAATTGAATCTTCCAAAAGAATTAGGCTTAGGGCTGTATCTCAATGGACTTTCAAAGCAGAAGATACCTAGGAATCTATTGCCTTACCTTTGTGGATGTTGGAAGAGGAGGAAATGTTGGACAATAATAAGAAGGGGACATGGACACAGATGAGAGTTAAAACAGAGGTTTGATTAGTAGGGATTAATTCTACTGGTGAGGATTTATAGGAAATGCAGCAAAACCGATGCCAGTTTCAAACCTGAGCGGTGGGAAGACTGTAAATAAGAAGTAAAAATTGTAAAGAGGTTCAAATAACATCATGCAGGTTATAATAATTTTAAACAAGGAAAGAACTTGCCTGAGTCAAAACTTATGAAGTAACTGACCCCCCCCCCCCGCCAATAAAAATAAAATCTATGTTGAAAAGTAATTTCATCAAGCAACCAAGGGAAAGAGAAAAGAGGCAGAAGGCTAGGGCAGGGAAAGCTAGAAAGAGCCTCCAGGCAATGTGGTCTGCTCAAGCAAGTGTTGCTGCCTGTGAGCCCACTGAAGTCCAAAGCAGTTCAGACTTTTAACCATTCATATGAAAGGATTCAATTTTGTCAACAGTGATTACAGAAGCCACTTATGAATGTTAAGACTGGGAATCCCAAAGGGTGAAAATGAACAGCTCAAATCGTTCTTCAAAAACAACTGATCGAAAAATTCAGAAACCTGCAATCGTTAGAAAATTAGGATGAAAGAATATCTTTGAGAAAAAAAAATAAAGTTAAATAAAACTAGTGAGGAAAATCAAGAGTTAAAGAAGGTATATGTGCACACAGGAAGAAAGCGGTCAGATCTGCTACTAACGAAGGGGGACTGACAGATGTTCTAGAAGAGCAAGCTAGGGGCAAAAATTTATCAAAAGCAATACAGTGATGTGGGACATTTTAAATGGCTTGTTCTATTAATCATTTTTATTTTTCACTTTAGCACTTTGACTCTACCTTGCATGCTCTATAGACTTCCCATAATGGTGGAGTTTAGCAGCATGGAAGTTATACTAAATAATGTATCCCATTGGGTTTACCTATATTAAAGAGGTGATATGTCATATTGTGGTACCATAACTTCAATTTATAAGTTGGTATAAAAACGTTCGTCAGGCTACAGATGAATTTTATTCATTATTCAGTGGGAATGAAACACCTTCAGAAATGTAACATACTAGCTCAGTGACTCACTCACATTTTTGTTTGTTGAAAATAAAGAATATTGCTAGTATTGAAAAATCATGCAAATGGTACTCAACAAAACATTATTTTCACTTTTTAGAGATAGCTTTAATCAAATATTATTGTTTACACTATTATCATTTTATTATTAAAATATTTATTCATCTTATTCAAATATTTCACAAGGTATAAGTGGGTTATCTGTGTAGCATCTTTATTTCAGATTGAGATATTTTAATAGTTTTGACATGTTTGTTTTCTTAGGCTGTGATACATCTTTACTATAACATTCATAATTATAATAAAGAGAAAGGATATAAGCTCTATATAAGAGTGAACACCTGACTGTGATCTAGGTTACTAAACAATATGCAAATATTATCTCCATTCTATTTTGTTTTTAGGAAGCACAAATCATATTTTGGTGTTTTACAAAACATTTTTTCTTGAAGATATAAAGCATCATAAACTAGAAATAGGTTAACATCTATTTAAACTCTTCAGTGCTGAATGCTTGCACACATAGCATATAATTTGAATTTTCATTGACTTGTGTGATGAGTTTTACAGAGTAGGAAAACCACTTCAGAGGCATGTTCAGAAAACCCTGGGGGAACTCTCCTCAGGAAGCCTGATGACTACACAATGATTTTATCATGGCCAGTGGTTTGGATTTGCATTCGTGGGCTGGGAATAAGTTTTAGTATATATACAACATTCTGCCTCCATGTATGCCCGCATGCCAGAGGAGGGCGCCAGATCTCAGTAAAGATGGTTGTGAGCCACCATGTGGTTGCTGGGAATTGAACTCAGGACCTGTGGAAGAGCAGCTAGTGCTCTTAACCTCTGAGCCACCTCTCCAGCCCTGGGAATAAGTTTTGACTGTATCTACTGATCACATTTTAATTTATAAGTTTATTTTATTTTTTTAATTCATTGGGAGTGTCAAGTAACATGTTTTGATCATATCTACCTCCCTTCCACCATTTCTTTGCAGATCCACTCCCCCTTTTCCACCCACCTAACTTTGTGATTTTTATTTTT